GGTCAGGTCTCCTTGAGGCAGCAGCAGTGGGGCCCCCTCGGAGTGAAGATGTAGCCCGAGTCGGCGAGGCGAAGCGTAGTTTCGAGGGCCCAGAGAGCATAAGCCATGGCTAGGTTTGAGTAACCCGAATCAGCGAGGTGAAGTCTACAAGCCAGCATGGTGAAAGGGTACCCAGGTCATCGCCAACATGAGGAGTAAACCTATCAGCATGTTCAGTAGCATCACTGAAAAGCTACCAAGAAGACGGTCGAGCCTTGAGGTAAGATGATAAATGGGGCGGACCTCCATGAAGCACCATACATATTTTTTCGAGGGCCCTTCTTTCACAGTTCAATGGCATAGCCAATGCGCGGTTTGAGTAACCTCAACAGTGAGGGTGAAGTCTAGGTAGGCCGGCATGGTGAAATGGTTTTGTCCCCATAAATGGACACCAACATCGGTAAGACCTGGGTTGACCAGGTGAGCCCTGGAACTGGTGGAGAAGTGGATGGCGCGGGACACAGACACCCATTCACAAGAAGACCATTGTCGAGGACGACAATGGATTGAGTGGGAGAGCCTGTGACGGTTTAACACAGGCTTAGTCTTGCCTACGCTTGGCAAGCTTACGTTAGGGACATCACCGTCATTTTTGCCTATAAGATTTTTGGGAGAACTGATGTCATCTTCAGGCAGACAACCAAAAGCTTAACGTACTCTTTGASGAGGGGTGGTCGACCTCCTTGGGTGCCTAACCTTGGCACTCCTAGACCWTCATCCCCTTGCAGGGCGGCCCTGGTTAACGGCTAGCATGGCTACCAGGGTTCCTCATGGGCACACACTTGCTCATGAGGACAGTGTTGGACTGGCACTGCGCTGCCGACATTCAAGGGAGGCTTGGCATGCGGGCCTGGCTCAAGCATGACCCTCCACCACGCCAGCCCCTTGCCCAAGCTGAGTGAGCTACCCCGTTGCCTCTAGCGCATGGGTGTGTTCCAGCCCAAGCGGTTGCCTATCATCATGGCACACAGGTGCCTGTCATCATCGGCATTCAGGAGACCCATCACATCGGTGCCCAGTCACCTCTTCGGCGCATAGTCACCTTGCATTATGGTCATCCCCCTTTAGCACGTAAGTGGCGCCTCCCATGGACCGGTCTGAGCCAGAAGAGTGCCCCGACCATTGGACTTGAGGTCATAATCCAGTGCTACTAACTTTGGTGGAGCCATCCCATTGGGCAACTCCTAGCCTCTAAGCGCATAAAGGCTTGTCCTGGCCTAACTTGGCCAGGACGATGCACAGGTTTCTTCCGCTGTAGAACTACCCCCGTGATAATTAGGCATTATTAAGCTGAAAAGTATATAAGCATCTTAGTGTTGAGGAAACATTAAAAATGAAACTTATTGCAATGATTAACTCTCACACAAACTTAAATAAATGTTTATTTAATAAATTAATATTCTACCAAAGAACATTTTAGAATAAATACCCATGTGGTAAACTGACACAATTTTACAAGTAAATGACAGCAAAATTAAATCCATCTAAATCTCCTGCCCACTAGAATCTTATATACATTGGGAACATCAACCTATAAACGGTAATATATAAATACATAATATGTTTTCAATGTGCGGCTGTAATGATTTGTGAGTAGGTGTGGGTAGGGTGGTTGTGGGTTGGAGATCCAAACACAACTAAACACCATCTAATTGACCTATTAGAAGTATGAAGTCATTAAAATTTACAACCAGTAAATACCCAGAACTTGCAGAGATTAAAAAGCTTGACCATCAATCGAACTGAGTTGAAGTCTGGATTTTTGAACAACCCTAGCAAGTGATCCATTAAAGAGATAATCATTTGATTTTTTAACTTGCTGCAATCCAAATTAATTTGGCCATCCACTGATCCACCAAGTGAGCTCTGCTAAAGATGAGCTTCTAAAGTGGTGGGTCGAAGAGTAAGATGAGTGCAACGAAATGAAGCTAAACATTGGGCTAGACGAGTTAGCATTTGTAACCAAAGGTTTTGATGTTTTAAATTTTCAATGGTGTTTAGGATGCGTTCGGAAATAATGCAAATAAGTGTGAATGCAAATATGTAAAGTGTAAAACGGATCATATAAATTGTAAAGTTGGGTTAATTTTGCATTGATAAATTTATTCTCTTACAAAATAGATTTTTTAATTGTAATGGATGCAAACATGAATTCTAATAAAGCATGTCTTTTTTTTATCAAAAGCCCAGTTGAGTGCAACTGTGCAAATTCACCTTTTTTTTATTGATGTACTTTTACATCTTATTATCAATGTAAATATGAATTAGAAAATGTGTTTTCTGACATTTGTCAATGCATAAATGTAATGTTGTCAAATACAGGCAAAAGTAAATCATAGTGCAAATTTACCCTGAACTGGGATTTACACTCCATTATATCATTTCCATAGCCTTACTTTTTTTTTTAGGCTCTCTTTACTAATTGACCATATTGACGAGTCCGAATCTGCTCTTCACAGAGCGTGCCTCACACCCACCGGCCGGATTGTGCACCATCAATTGGCGCCGTCT